TATCTGTGGCACACATTACACAGGTGTGAAGTGATTTTGATTTTTTTCTTAGGTTCCTTACCATCAGTGACAATATGGCGGGAAAAATGGAGACGAATCCCTCAATGTAATCGTTTGTATCTATTGTTTGTATTTATTTCTAGTTTTTATTTGTTTTAATTCTGTAAGGGTAAAGGGACAAGATTATGGGAAACACAGAAAAATCATCCCTAAAATTAAGAAAAATGTATTACTTTTTTTTTTTTATTATTATTATTTTTTTATTAATATCATGAAAAGTGCAAGGGGGAGAGAAGCCAGGCTAGACCATGAATAGTGTAAATCCAGGAATAATTGATGGCTATTATAAGTGCATTGACCAATTCTTTAGAATTATTAGATTTTTGGCGAGTAATTTGGGGGCGAGGTTACTTTTCTCAAATGCATTGTTTGTTTTTTCTTGCTGTCCAGGTACAGTGTTCCCATAGAAAATCCCTAATATGGCGCCTCATTTTTATTCTTTTTACTACATTTTTATTTATTGTTTTCTGCTAATAATAATAATAAATTGTATTTGTACTTATAAATAAGATGCATTTGTCTTTATTTGTTCTGCAAAATATGTGCTACAGCTTGAATTGTGTTGGAAGGTCCAAGTTTACCTAATGAATTGTCCCATTGATTGTGCGCTTGATAACATTTCGACTTGAATTGCCTTAATGAATGGGGCTTTTCTCAAATAAGACGGACCTCCCTTCACCACATCGTGGTGTGAGCCAAAGGTCACTCAATCCGCTGATCTTTGAATAATGGGATGGAAATCCTTTTTTTTTTCTTATTTGAATAATCGATTAATCACAAAAAATTATTGACAGATTAATTGATTAAAATTATCGTTCATTGCAGCCTACTGGACTATAGTTGGAAACCTTCTCTGCCTCTTCCTGCCATTATTTATACTGCATCTCTTCTGGCAGAGCGCAATAATGATCTGCTTGTTGTGGCACAATGTGGTGTGACACTACAGATGTGCAACTCTGAATTTGGACTTGCCTGTATGAGGTCATAGCCCATCACAAAATAATTGTTAAAAAAAATCTGCAAAGCATATCTTAGTGTAGAGGTCTTACTGTTGGATGACAGCAAGAGTGACAACAATGGTGAATTTCATGACTGCTGTGTTGGTTGTTGTGGGGCGGGAGGGATCGACTAAAAGTGAGTCGGGGGTTCTTCCTGGACTTAACGGTACCTAGTGTTGGCAGGTCGAGGCCTTTTACAGCTCCCCGAGGAAAAGTGAATCACTGCTAATCAGCAAGCCGTCACCACTACAGACGTGACCGGATGACCTCTCGGGAGGGCCGAGTGCAATCATCCTGTTGGCTCAACCTTGATGCTTGGTTGCTGACATGGGACTTACTCAAAGTCCACTTTTGTGTGTGTGTGTGTGTGTGTGTGTGTGTGTGTGTGTGTGTGTGTGTGGTTGACAAGCTCAATGAGTCTTTTGAGACCTCATTTGCCCGTATTATTAATTCATTGCACACTCACTAGAAAACTGGATACAGTGAAGCGCCGCTGTAAATCAGATGCCATATACTGTTTGGATGTGTTGCTGCTCTGTGTGAAGTTCATCAGAAGTGACTAAAGTGAGATGAGGGAGTCTGCATTGAGTGAATTAATAAAATAAAATGCGGATATTCAGCCAGCCAGTAACACTTGCAGTTACGTTGTGCTGTTTAAATGTTCCCTTTATCTTTTTAAGCAGTACTGTACATCTAATTTCATTTGAGCAATGCAGAGTAACATTTTGCAACATTTGAACATGTAATTCAGTTATTCTTTTACATGCTTCTGGAGGTATGCCAAAGTAATACCTCTGTAATACCTCTGATTGTCTGTTAATGATTCAGTCTAGTCCTATACAAATGGCTCTAAGGCTGAAAACAGTCAAAGGAGTCTCACTAAATTATCATAACTTGAAATTTGCAAATCAAGGTTCTCCTTTGAGGATTAGATGGTGATGATGGGATGCAACAAGTCCCATTCCCTTAAATATCACAAGTGATCGGAAGCAGTCGAACAAATAGAAGCCTCGGTCAGTCATTGCGCCAAAGCCCCACTATGGCCATACATGATGGCAGACTGCCTCCTGCTGGAATGAATCTATATTACAGCCAGTCACTTGGGGATTTTTAAACCTAACACTCTTGTAGAAATGAATAAACGATAAAATCATACTTATTTTGGGGCCCAGATTTAGTTTTTCCTTTCGCGACGTACTTCCCGAGTGTGCGTAAGTATATCGGTCACACTGAGTCTTTATGCTTGCTCCACTGGGTCTTTTTGTTAATTTGAAATGTGCATTTACAAAAATAGCAGTTCTTGCAACCCAACGCGACGCAGTGCAATAAATGAACAAAATATAGATCTACTGTAGATCTATATTTTTATTTCTATATTTTTATTTCTATATTTTCAACTAAAATAATACAATAACATCCCGGCGGAAAAAGAGTTTACAAAAATATTTACGGATATTCAACGTTTTAACACTTTTTGGCCAGTATATGCTTCCAAAACAGCGGAAAATCTTAGCAGCATTGTGAGCAATAAAATTACAAATATCAGTCAAATAGGTTTAGACAATGGGGCAGTGCCAAAATAAACGAGTCACCGTTTCGACATCCACAGAAGACAAAGTTTATTTAACATCAATGTCTTTTTTTAAAACTTTATGCCGCGAATGACGTATTCCTACGCGGCCGTGCCGCCACAGCCTCCAGCGCGCATGCTCATTGACTCTCTCCCGTCACTACGACACTCGCAGTCAACATGGCGGACGTTCTGGAGCTTCATGAAGCGGGCGGCGAGGACTTTCCTATGGATGAGGATGGTGAGAATATAAGAAGGCTATTCTTATATTTGCTTGGTGCCGAGCGGAGAGTAGTTCATTTGGCGAGCAGCATGTAAATATGGAGGAGTTGGGTCGCGAAAAGTAGCCGAGAATGAAAGAGGGACACGTCGAAGGCGTGCTGGTGGGCCCGAGCTAACATGCTAAAATGCTAACAACCCGCCGCCGACTATTCATTCAAAAAATCGATTAATCACAAAAAATTATTGACAGATTAATTGATTAAAATTATCGTTCATTGCAGCCTACTGGACTATAGTTGGAAACCTTCTCTGCCTCTTCCTGCCATTATTTATACTGCATCTCTTCTGGCAGAGCGCAATAATGATCTGCTTGTTGTGGCACAATGTGGTGTGACACTACAGATGTGCAACTCTGAATTTGGACTTGCCTGTATGAGGTCATAGCCCATCACAAAATAATTGTTAAAAAAAATCTGCAAAGCATATCTTAGTGTAGAGGTCTTACTGTTGGATGACAGCAAGAGTGACAACAATGGTGAATTTCATGACTGCTGTGTTGGTTGTTGTGGGGCGGGAGGGATCGACTAAAAGTGAGTCGGGGGTTCTTCCTGGACTTAACGGTACCTAGTGTTGGCAGGTCGAGGCCTTTTACAGCTCCCCGAGGAAAAGTGAATCACTGCTAATCAGCAAGCCGTCACCACTACAGACGTGACCGGATGACCTCTCGGGAGGGCCGAGTGCAATCATCCTGTTGGCTCAACCTTGATGCTTGGTTGCTGACATGGGACTTACTCAAAGTCCACTTTTGTGTGTGTGTGTGTGTGTGTGTGTGTGTGTGTGTGTGTGTGTGTGGTTGACAAGCTCAATGAGTCTTTTGAGACCTCATTTGCCCGTATTATTAATTCATGGCACACTCACTAGAAAACTGGATACAGTGAAGCGCCGCTGTAAATCAGATGCCATATACTGTTTGGATGTGTTGCTGCTCTGTGTGAAGTTCATCAGAAGTGACTAAAGTGAGATGAGGGAGTCTGCATTGAGTGAATTAATAAAATAAAATGCGGATATTCAGCCAGCCAGTAACACTTGCAGTTACGTTGTGCTGTTTAAATGTTCCCTTTATCTTTTTAAGCAGTACTGTACATCTAATTTCATTTGAGCAATGCAGAGTAACATTTTGCAACATTTGAACATGTAATTCAGTTATTCTTTTACATGCTTCTGGAGGTATGCCAAAGTAATACCTCTGTAATACCTCTGATTGTCTGTTAATGATTCAGTCTAGTCCTATACAAATGGCTCTAAGGCTGAAAACAGTCAAAGGAGTCTCACTAAATTATCATAACTTGAAATTTGCAAATCAAGGTTCTCCTTTGAGGATTAGATGGTGATGATGGGATGCAACAAGTCCCATTCCCTTAAATATCACAAGTGATCGGAAGCAGTCGAACAAATAGAAGCCTCGGTCAGTCATTGCGCCAAAGCCCCACTATGGCCATACATGATGGCAGACTGCCTCCTGCTGGAATGAATCTATATTACAGCCAGTCACTTGGGGATTTTTAAACCTAACACTCTTGTAGAAATGAATAAACGATAAAATCATACTTATTTTGGGGCCCAGATTTAGTTTTTCCTTTCGCGACGTACTTCCCGAGTGTGCGTAAGTATATCGGTCACACTGAGTCTTTATACTTGCTCCACTGGGTCTTTTTGTTAATTTGAAATGTGCATTTACAAAAATAGCAGTTCTTGCAACCCAACGCGACGCAGTGCAATAAATGAACAAAATATAGATCTACTGTAGATCTATATTTTTATTTCTATATTTTTATTTCTATATTTTCAACTAAAATAATACAATAACATGCCGGCGGAAAAAGAGTCTACAAAAATATTTACGGATATTCAACGTTTTAACACTTTTTGGCCAGTATATGCTTCCAAAACAGCGGAAAATCTTAGCAGCATTGTGAGCAATAAAATTACAAATATCAGTCAAATAGGTTTAGACAATGGGGCAGTGCCAAAATAAACGAGTCACCGTTTCGACATCCACAGAAGACAAAGTTTATTTAACATCAATGTCTTTTTTTAAAACTTTATGCCGCGAATGACGTATTCCTACGCGGCCGTGCCGCCACAGCCTCCAGCGCGCATGCTCATTGACTCTCTCCCGTCACTACGACACTCGCAGTCAACATGGCGGACGTTCTGGAGCTTCATGAAGCGGGCGGCGAGGACTTTCCTATGGATGAGGATGGTGAGAATATAAGAATAGCCTTCTTATATTTGCTTGGTGCCGAGCGGAGAGTAGTTCATTTGGCGAGCAGCATGTAAATATGGAGGAGTTGGGTCGCGAAAAGTAGCCGAGAATGAAAGAGGGACACGTCGAAGGCGTGCTGGTGGGCCCGAGCTAACATGCTAAAATGCTAACAACCCGCCGCCGACTATTCATTCAAAACGCCTCGGCTCAGCCACACGTTTTATTCATTGGCTCGACAAAATGAAAATACGATTTAATATTATAAAAGTTGTGAGACTCCTTAGGCTTGATTAAGATCAAACGTAGGAACGAAAGTAAGTTAAAGCTCGAACGTAAAACCTGATGGAAGTGAACACGCATGTTACTTTGCATCCTCAGAAAGCATCCACAAGCTGAAGGAGAAGGCCAAGAAGAGGAAAGGACGAGGTTTCGGCTCTGGTGAGGAAGCACCTCTAGCTGACAGTCATGCAGTTGTTTTGGAGTGAGTGCTCATACTTGTGTTGGTAGATGAAGGCGCCAGGTCCCGCATGAAAGAAGATTATGACACGGTGGAGCAGGATGGAGATGAGCCAGGCCCTCAGCGATGTGAGTGCTGCCGGTTTAGAGCAACAAAAACTGGATTTCAAATATACATCTCACAACTCGTGTTTAATTACGCTGTAGTGATAGTCATTTATTGCAGAGGATAAGGAACATATCCCAGTGAGTGTTTTGATTATTTTGTTGCAGCCCTGTTAACAAGTTCACTGCTTCATAGGATATAACATTGATGTTAATTTCACTAGTCTGACAATGGCGTTTTGCTTGAGCAATGTGCTAGCAGACTGTTAAGGCAAATTAATGAGGTTCACTCAACTGCAAAGTTGCCAGTAGTTGTTGGTTAGTGTGATATTTTGACCCAAAAAATGTCAGGTTAGGCAACCCGTGGATTGTTTTACATTGTGAAAAATATTCCACACCTAATCCAGCACATATCACTTGTCTTGTGCGTTAGCCGTGGAAGGTTGGATCCTGTTTGTGACGGGCGTCCACGAGGAGGCCACAGAGGAGGACATCCACGATAAGTTCTCAGAGTTCGGCGAGATCAAGAACCTGCACCTCAACCTGGATCGTAGGACGGGATACCTCAAGGTGAGACCACTGAAAGGCAATTGTTCATTTTTATCATTGCCGTCTGGCCTACTGTCTATATCAGAACTTGTATTAAAAAGAAAAGTCAATTCAAAATCTCCTTAGTGATTTTGGTCTTGAGCAGCAGTGGCTACGTTCAGAATCATTAAGCTCATTCCGGACTTATCAGTCACTACAATGCCACTAAACAGTCAAATCAAGAAAAAAGATTTCGGAGTGGGCCTCAACTTCCAAGCATAAGATGGCGACATGTAAACGAAATCCAACATGACCTCTGGCACGTCAACATGTCCTCACTGCTAAACTTTTGACGATTGTGGAAATAACTTATCCATAACTGTAGGTTATCTAGTAAAGTTTGCAAACAGTAGGAGGCAGGGGGTTGCTGACTGGCGACAGGAAGTGGAAACTCAAACTCTTTACAACTAAAGTACAGGTGAAAAAAATTAAGAATCAAGCATAAAAGAAATTGTGAAGCATTTTTGTGTTCGTTTAACTAAAAAGGGTGTGTGGTTGACCTTTTTATTATTAGAAATGTACTTTTGATCCATAAGATGTTGAAATTTGTGCCGGTTTCCTTGTCGAAGTATGTTTTTGTTTTGTAAAGAATTGCAAAGTGCCTTTTCAGTCCATTATTCGTTGTTAAAAGACTCTTCAGATTTATTTACTGCAAGTGTCACCAAGTAATGTGATGTCATGGTGAAAATGGGTATATGTTTGTTTTTAATTTTTTACTTGACTGCTGTTTACTATCGGCAGGGTTACGCTCTGGTGGAGTACGAGACCTACAAAGAGGCGCAGGCCGCCATGGAGGGCCTCAATGGGCAGGACATGATGGGCCAGCCCATCAGCGTGGACTGGGGCTTTGTCCGCGGACCCCCCAAAAGCAGACGCAGGTAAGTCTTGTCTGTGGCCAGCTGGCGCTTGCGCAAAAACACTGGGCCATCTTGCTAATCCACGCGTGTTCTTCTTAGGACCGGGGGGCGGCGACGCAGCCGGAGTCCCGACAGGCGACGGCGTTAAACAATTGGCGCCGTGCTAGAAGGATGACAGCAACTTTGCGCCAATTTCTCTCCTTTTTCTTTTCATTTTGTATCGGATTTGTGGTTCAGTATCGTGCGTAGCAATCTCAAACATGGAGAGTTTTTGTCACTTGCTCAAGCAGCTTTCAAAAGCTGCGTCGCAATTTCCTATGAAAATGTTGATTCACTTTTTTTTCTTTTTTGCTCACTTTTTATTTTTTGGCATTTTACTGGAAGTGTTTTTGTTTTATATGACTTACAAAAAACATTAAAGTTTTAAAAAGGACAAAAAGTGTTTTTTTGTGTTTTGTTTTGTGTTTTTTTACAAATTCAATGTGCACAAATGTTACAACAGGATGAAAAAGTTCAAGTATTTGCTATCTGGTTTTATTTTGCATTTAATTTTATTTGATGTTGAGTATTTTAAATGTATTTTTATTGGAGGTTTTGCTTCTTGAGAAATTTGCCTTTTGCTATAGTTTTATGGAATATTGGTTTTGACAGTTGGATGTTTAATTTTTGTTAAATTTCATATTTAGATTTTTTTGTCAAATTATCTTATAATTCATTAAATTATAAACTTTTTTGTTAAGGGACATTTAATTTTTAAAAATTATTTTATTTTAATTGGGGGGATTGGTCAATTTTTTTTTTTTTTTTTTTTTTTTTTTTTACCTGTCACGTCAAAATACATCATCCGGAATGACCTCATCACCCGAGACCGCTTTGAAGCATCTGTCACTCTCCCCGAAGGAACGCGTTCATAGGCTGGCCCTGAAGAAACACCCACTTCACCTCTTTTCAGCTGCAAGTCAATCAGCGGACACTTGTTCGGGTTACTCCTATCCCCATTGGTCAACCACAACGACCATCAAAACACTCGTCGCTCAGCCACTGGCTTGAATCGGTGTCACCGGAAGTTATCGTTTTTGATTGGCCGTCTCGCGGCATGGGCGGGCTCTTAGACTCGGTTGACGTTGTTGTTGAAAGTGGAGTGGAAATTACTTTGTGGCTGATGGTCCGGCTTGGGGATTTGACGGTTAGTTACCCCACGAGAAGATGCTCCAAAGTTAACCACTGTCCATTTTCACCGAGTGGGCGAAAGTAGGAGGACGGGAAGGATGAAAACATCTGCGGGGCTGCTCAAGGTAAGAAGCAATTTGGTGGAGGCGGTAAAGCGGGGGGAGTGCAAGCTCTCCTTTAGCTAACAGCTAAAGGCTAACTGCCGATTCGCTTCATCTTCAAGCAGCCACAACAACGGCCATGTTCAGTATACAGGGAAATTTATTTTTAAAAATCATTTTGGGGTTTATTGCCGTGTTCAGCGATGTTTACCGCGCGTCGGTAAAGTTGTAAGACTAGTCTGGGAAAGCCGCATGCAGCCCATGCGCTCAAACGCCTCTTTTTATGTAAGCATGTTGATCCTTCTGACTAGTCTTCCACCGAAAACTACCGAAAAGACACAATGCAAACACATCACACATTCTGGTACTTCAGACGATAACCGCTTGTGTTAGCGCAAAATTTTCTTCCGCGCGTGTCAGCTGTGGTGGTGTTTTTAAAAATGTCCCTCAAGTGGACTGGTCTGACTGGGATGTGTCACCATGCGTGGACACACACGTCTGCCGGTGATGTAATCCAGATTTAAGAAGGAGGCAAGCGGTGAAGCTCACTTGTCTTGACGCTCTTCTTGACGTCTTGGTCGTTTGTTTTTCGGCTCCAAGCAATAAAAACAAGTGTAGCCTACCTCCCTTATCAAGGCCATGTTACACTCTTCAATTATTGACAAGTTGGCTCCTTTTAGTTTGTGTGTGTGTGTGTGTGTGTGGGGGGGGAGGGTATAACATTGAGTTTGTCGATAGTTAATCGAGTAATCAAAAACTATTTCGATAATCGAGACCACGTCCAAACCGTCAGAATATCAGCCTCTCCGATTTCTGTAGTCCTCATGTAATCAAATTAATTGTCTTGGTCGTGTTGATTTGCAAACAATTATTTTAATTTTATTTACAGTATTCATTGATTGATTTTTGTCGATTTTCTGACAGATGTTACAAACCAAACCGGTAGTAATTGAATCATAATTAATTAATGTTGAGACATTCTTTGCACTGATAATGTGAAATGTGTCCTGTTTTTGAATGAAGGTATGGAAATGTAAAAAAAAAAAAAAAAGTTTATTTTTTTCATTCAGAACAAAATAATGACTAATAAAATGTGATCCCTAGTCATTGACGTTCCCAAAACAAATGCAACTTGTACTGGGAACAGAATGCATGGGTGAAATGACTTGCATGCTAACGAAACATGACATCACGAGGCGCTTTGCGTTTGTGGACATCAGAGTAGCCCCTCATTTGTTCCGGTCTCGGTCCGACTCCTAGCACGTTTCTGGCAATTTTAAGGATGTTGTGCTTGAACTGCTCCTGATGTAGATTTATCATTTCAAACGTAATTTCTTTTTGGCCATTTTTCTGTTCCTTCAGCTGCCATTGCCATTGGCGCCGTCTGGTTTGTCATTTGTTGCTTTTTGATGACACACATGTCAGATGAGCACAACCCAGGGTGTCCAAACTACATTCGCATGGGATACATATCCGAAGAGGCCAGGTTTGGATTTGTAAAAATTGAAATTGTACTGACATCTTGGGCCTTAAAATTTTAAATTGATCAGAATGACCATCAACTTGGATCCAAGTTGAGGTTGAACAGTAAATATAAAATGTTTCCTGCTAATATAATAACATGAATAAAAATAAGTTCTCTATAATGCAGAATTGTATAAGAACAATAAACAGAGTGAGAGGAGAGTAAGCGATAATTGCATGTTATGTGAAAGAATGATATTGCACACAAAACAAACATTGTACTTGCACCAACTTGAATGACAACTGATGGACTTGGTGTCGGGGCCTGTTTTTGTTTTATTTTATTTGCATATCAAAAATCTAATTTTAAGGCCGTGTTCTGCTGACATCAGATGGCATAGATCAGGTATCGTCAAATGGTGGACTTCGGTCCGGGTCCCGGTGAAGTCAAGCTCTCACACAAACTCCTTGTCAATTGCTGTAAAAGAAATGTCAAAGTATGCGCCACGGGGTTTTTCTTTTTTTTCTTCATATAAACCACTGTCACAAACTGTGTCCAAATTTGTAGGCAGTGTCTGCCAAAGGCCAAATTTGAAGGCCACATGACCTGGCCATGGTTTCCACGGAGATGGGGTCCTAAGAGAAGGGCGCTCCGGAGCACACTTTGGTAGCCTACAGTGCTTGCGCTCTCCTTCTCCACTTGGCCTGCTTGAATTGGCTACGCTTGATGCGATCAGCGTGGGCTACATGAGGGAGGAGCCTTTGATGGGCCCAGCCTGCTGAGTGTCCTCCAGGACGCAGCCTCCCAATTTAGACGCAGCTCCAGACCATGTACACGGCCACACTCGGTACTACAGCAGCTCTTCTTGTGATTTGTTTACCGGGAGAGATTTGCAGGATTGACAACGCGGTATGGCTTGTTCAAACATTTGAGTCGGCAAAGAGAGTTCTTTCGCAGCAAATTCGACACGCCGGGTATAATTCTGATCATCACCTATGAACAAATTAAGCGATGGGGCTCTTCCGCCGCTCATCACGTCGTGTACTTTCCACAGCGCGTCACGTAATTACCACACGTTAGACTGGATGTTTGTGCTGCCGCGCTGATAATGAAGTCACACCCACGTGTGGCCGCACCCACGACCCTAACGAGGAAAATGGAGGGACGGCCATCGTTTGTCAGGTGCAACTTTCCTGCGCCTTTAACCTGTGGACTTGCTGTTGGTTTATTGCATTGCGACTCGTGAGTGGTGTTTACAGTTCACACACACACACACACACACACACACACACACACACACACACACACACACACACACAAACACAGACACAGACATGACTAAAATCAGATGAATTCAATGACCATTTACATCCTTTTTTCCAGTCAGTGGTTTGTTGTAAAAAACAAAACTAAACTTTTTGCAACTTGTCACCACACACTTTCCGGTCTGTTCTCAACAGCTGGGCTACAGCATGTGAAAAATCGGTCCATACAGGAACCTCCTCTTTACACGTGTCCCTATATTAGTCACCATTAGAAGTTCAGTTTGCATTCATTTAAATATTGTCATCCTAGACTAGACATGTTGGGTGTGTTGAATCAGGACCTCCGTTGTGACTAAATCAATGAGTCAGTTCTTACGGTTGACAAACTGGACTTTTTATCATATCATTCAGAGTTACGACTCGTGCTCGGTGTTCTCTTTAGAGCAAAGAAACAAACTGTGGAATTTCCCCCGAAACTTGAATGCAATTGTTGAGGAACTGAATTTGGTTTGTCACTTCGATTCCAGTTAGAAGTTAAGGTTCTAATAGTACCATTTTAAACAAATAACTTCCTTGTATGGGCTGGAGTGGCCAACCATAACGTTTACTTCACCCAAAATCTGCTCGCAAGAAGTCCACGAAAACTCTCTCCCCCACAAACCGAAAATCTCACATATAGATAAAATCTCTCACACCCAAAAACTCAGTCACACCACAAAACCTCTTTCGAAACAACAACGAATTGCAACAGAAAATCAAAGAACACACACACACACACACACACACACACACACACACACACACACAGGAGTTGCACGTGTGTGTCCCACTAACCCAAGCGACTCGGCCGCTTACTTATTAATGTGACCGCGTTTGAGAACCGCCCGTGGGAATGAGGCAGAATAGGCTCCAACTCTGCAAGTGACATTGCAGCCCTCGCCCAACAAACTAACAGGATCAGCAAGCAGCTGTTTGCGGCTGTCCGCCCCGTCCACGGAGATAAATTTAAACACCGCATGGCCAAACGCTTTCCCCCCGTGAAAGACAATACAGCAGCACGGGCTGGTTATTACAGTGAGAAGTGGAAGAGAAAAAAAAACATTAGCCAGATACTTGGAGTGCCTTCAAATAGCACTTTTTTTTCATCCAAGTGTCATCCGTAAAAGACAATTTATAGGGTGAATGAGTTCTTGCAACAATTATTCATCGATTTATCGAAATAGTTGTCAATTCGTTTGGCAATTGATTAGTTGTCTATTTATCCATTACTTGTTGAATCTCTAGCTGCAGTGATTATTCGAAGAACTGGAGCAATTCGAGTGCGAAAAAAAAAGTCTGGAGCAAAATTTCTGCCCCAGAGGGTTGCGGGGATGAATTTCCATCAGGGACAAGTTACTGCGGTCGATTCGAGTCCATAAACTGCACTTTCCATTTTCGTGTTATGGTGTTTAATTATCCATTTTTTTAATTTTTTTTTTAATAATCGATAGTATAAAAAAATGGTTCGGTCCTAATTAACCCTTTTGAAGACAGCGCTTACTACAGCGGACAGCTTATCATGTTACAGGTTAGAGGGTGCATGGAAGGGTTAAAATCAAACTCGGTCTTCTTGCCCAATTTTTCAGTTTCACATTTCTGATTGAGCCAAAAATTGAATTGGGGGGGGACACACCACTTACAAAAATCTGGATTTTTGTTTTGAATACTCATTGAAAATGCAAAGAATGAATTATATATATTTTTTCTTCTCATTAATTTGTTCTCACATTTGCTCACAGGTTGACTACTGATTGTTTCAGACAACAGCAGGAGGAAATAAAAACTCGGAACAAGTCCAAGCGGCACTGTTGCATGGTCATGCTGCATTATGAAAACTTCCGTTTGGACAAAATTAAAGTAAAAGTTGAATAACTTTCAACCCATAATTAAATTGTCATCATATGTCTTACAAAAAAAAAACTTGAACCGGTGTTAATTAGTTCGCAAGCCACTTCCTGGTTGAAGTGAGGTGAGCTGGCATGCCCTTGCCATTTGGGATTGTGTGCTTGGGGAATTTTGGAGGGAGCAGGAAATAAGAAAATGTCAGCCTCACTAACTGGCACGAAATGAAGTCGATGATAACGGCATGCATGACAAAAGGCTCACAGACTCAAACAGGAAACTGGGCGGAAAGTCCATTTCGGTCAGAGGCAGCCATTTTGAGGACAAATTCCATGAAAAAGCGGAAGCTGGAAATCGATATGTCATTCAGTTGATGAGTTATTTTTATTTAATTTTTTCTTAGCAGCTGTTCTTCCATGTTTCAATGCCATTGTTGAATATTCTTGAGAATCAAAAGTTACTCGCTCTTTCAAAAGGATATAAGACGCTCGATCATAATAGCCACATAAAAAAATGATCAACGGTAATATTGTTTATCTTGATAGCTTGTGGGAAACGATATTGTTCATGAAAAAAGATTGGAGAAACTAATCGCATATTCAATCGCGGGGGGGAATCCCAAATAGGTTATTTTTCAAAATGGTTCAGCCCTCAGAGGCACTGCAAAGAGAAAGATGGGATGAACAAAAAATGCATGCCAAAAATGAAATTCATTCAGTGGGGAAAATGGATTTGATACTCAAGCAAGTTGCTTGGTCGCCGAACGAAGTCACCTCCTAAATCGAGGCACGGCGCTTTTTGCTTGACTCTTCTTGTCTGGAGTTGTGAAATTGGAAAAGAGATTCTTTCACGTTCATGTTGTGTTGTTTGGGTTCTGGAATTAGCCTTTGCGCGTTAATTAGCCAGAAAGTTGCACAACAGGTTGGAAGGGATGCTGGAATTGTTGATATGCAATCAAGCGGCAATTAGTTGTTCACCCGTACAATTTGTCCTCCATTCGGAATGTCTCTGGGGTCGAATCCAAAGCGACGTTAAAGCAAGGAACACGTCCTGACAATCATGCCCAATTTGTCAATGTACCCCGCTTCGATTTACGATTATCAGCCTCGGTCTTTTTCTGAGCAGACCGGGCAGGGAAAAATCACTCTTAACATAATCCACACCCCAAAATAATCAATCGTGATTATCTTGTAGCGACATCTGAGAATCGGGCCTCTACTTGATCACGAGGGAGGAAAATGCTCCATTTGTGCCCGATCGTCACGTCTCCCCCATGAAACATTTATGACCATTGACTGCCACTGTCTTCCGAGCGGATGATGGAGAAAAGTTTTATGATTGTCAGCACAGAATAATTGGCTCAGGATCATCATTTCGAGACATCTGAGAATCAGAGCTTTCTCAAAGTCAGCCAGATGACCTGTATGCCTGCACATTTACGATTCACGATTGTCAGCCCCCGGTCATTTTTTGTATGCACTGGGGAGGGACAAAGCCTTCTTGCCACCCTCCACACCATAGGATAATCGCTCCGGGATTGTCTTTTAGATGCTGACCTCAGTGGGAGTGGGGGAAATGCTCAATGGGCCCCATCGTTGGTATGTGTGTGTGCCCTGCTTAATCTTGCTGCTGTGTGTGTGTGAGTGAGTGTTTTTCCCAGCCATCAGTACAGAGTAGGAGGCCGCCCCAAAGAAGTGTCACTTGGCAAATTGTTGTGTTGTGACCCATCCGAAGCCTCGCTGGCATGTGGCGGCCCGACGGCGGGTGTGTGCGGGATATCTGACATCAGCCTGGTTGCGCGCGTGCGCGCGTATTTGCCAGAGCAGGAATGCTCCACGCTCCCTCGGTCCCATCGCTAGAGACAGAAAATGTGATTCATCAAGATCGGCGGAGAGGAATGACATGGACTCCAAATGGATTCTTGGTTGGGCCACGTGAATGGATTGACACAGTACACTAGCTTGTTAGCATGTCACCTCTGATTAACCCTTGTTCGTTGATTTTTTTTAACGACACATCGGACAAAGGCACCATAATGGAACGGTGGCTTTAAAGTGTAATATCAAAGTCATTTCTAAATCCTTTTTTTTCTTGCGACCACTCAAAATGTTCAGTGGCGTCAGACCTATCCATACATATAAAGTTTCTATTTACTTATTGAGGTTGGTGCCCTCTATGGACATCAAAGCAATAAAAAGCAGTATTGTGCTATGGGTATAAGTAACTATCATCTGCATATAAGTAAAAAACAAAAACATTGAATTCGGACTATTCAATATGGACAAGTTAGCGCCTTCAACATGTTAATAGATCATGACATAATTTTAGTTTGTACGTCAACAGTCCTGTTACAGGATGTTTTGGTGCACAAGGGTTTAAAAAAAAAAGAATTTTACCTACTTTCACCTTCTTCCTCTTCGACTCTGTCAGCAGACGGTGCTGGTAACCCGACTCACGACTTGAGTTGGTTCCATCCCCATGCTCAGAACTCGATTTATGTGCAAGTTTCGAGATTGAAATGCTATTAATCCATTCTCACCAAAAAGCCACCACCGTTTTTTTTTATTGTTTTTTTTTTTTTTTATACATTACACATATACTTAATCAACAATTGCAACAATTAATCAATGAATTGTCTTGTTGACCTTGTTTAACTTCATATTGTCCACATTTAGGGGGCAACGCAATCACGCACAGCAGCTTTGACTTGATGATTTGACTTGAACTCGGTGTCCTCCTTGCCCCAGGAGAGAACGTACCTGCCCCCGGAAAAAGAAATGGCTCGGCTCGGACGGCCTGTACTGCAGAGACAAGACGACGTGACCCAAGGTGAGGAAATCAGTATTTTCAGAAGTGTGGTACATTTTACCGCCATAGGTAAAAAACATTGGAGCTTCCTTTTGCTGTTAATTAGCAGAGGTGGGCGCGTCAGTAAATTTTGGCGGTCTGTCATTGGCCAGAGGCCGAGCCACCCGTCCCTCATCATTTCCGTCGGTCGTCAGCGAAACATGAGTCTGTCAGTGATGGACTGAGAAGCTTCGTCTGTACTGACCCAACTAGTGACAAGCTAAAACAACTTCCGTCGATGTTTAGTATTAAGTTTCCCGCCAGCCGTCACCAAAATGGGTGTCCGTCAGTGACCTTGATGGACCTTCCGTCAGTACTGACGGAATGCCCACCTCTGTTAATTTACACTGCATACCTCTCAGTAGAGCTCAATGCTGTCTGGGATATTTTATTGTGGCACAACATGGTACTACACTTCTGTATTCTGACACGTCCAATATAAAAAAAATAAAAAACACATTAAACAGACATCCATCCATTATCGGTGCCGCTTACACCTAAGGACAATTTAGAGTGTTCAAATAACCTACAGTGACAATCTGCAAAAAAAAAAAATATATATATATATATATATATATATCAGCTATAATGACCAAGATGGCCAATACTAAATCATCACACGGTTTTGGGTATAGCTTGAGCGCAAACAATAAACCGTGATACATTCGGGTTTGCCACATGTCTGTCTTTTTAAAATTTTTCTGCAGCTGCCGAAGGGCGTCAGGCGAGCGCGGTCCCTGCCCGCGATGCCTCACCCGCTGCGACTTCCCTGACGCACACCTCCGGCCCCGCGGGGGGCAGTGACGAGCAACTGCTGAACACACCCGAGTTCACCTTCCAGCTGCCCGACCTCAGCATGTACCAGGACGACTTCCAGGTCAGCGAGAGGGACCTGATCGAGAAGTCCATGATGGTGGCCTTGGAACACGCCGGTAATAGCGCCTACGCAAAGTTTTCATGGTCAACAACCATCGCAGCTTTTCTACAAAATTGAACACCACAAAACAGATTTGATTTTTGTCCCTGAAGATTCCAAATTAAAAAGAACAAGTGACCTAAATCTTCTAATATTGGAAATTTTTCTGGCAGAACTTCACATAAAGAAAAATCGTGATTATCATTTCGGCTGTAGTTGTGCAACACTCCGGACTGACTTCTTTAATTTATTTTATTTATTTTTTTATTTTGTTTGCTTGTAAATGTCTGCAGGACGCCTGAATTGGTGGACCAAAGTGGTTCCAAACTGTCAGAGTTTGCTGCCCCTGACGACAACAGGGGACGGAAACTGCCTGTTACACGCCGCCTCGCTCGGTCAGCTCTCATTGTTGCCTTACAGTCCACATTCGCAGACATGCTTTTGTCATGCACTACACATATTGCACACTCGATCCATTTGCCCTGTACAGTGGTGCCTTGAGATACAAGTGAGCCCATTTATAAATTTTCACCACATGGGCCGTCGCTCGGCCAATTATTATTTTTTTTTTGTTTCTTTGTTTGTTTGTTATTTTGCTTTGACTTATCAGGATAAATATGAGTGCACTTAATAAGCAGCTGTTAGGCAAATAGTGACTTTTTTTTAATTAACCCTTTCATGCACCCTGTAATCTGATAAGCTGTCCACTGTAGTAACCGCTGTCCCTGAAAGGGTTAAAGTCTTCAATCTGTTTATTGACACTCCCAGATGAGGTTGACTCAAATTTAACTTAAAACAGAGATCGTAAGTAATGAGACTTGTGATGGTAAAACCCTTGAAGCAGTGGGTGTTTGAACACAAATGCTAGAGCAACACATGTAGACAGACAATATAAACAATATCCACAGGAATGTATATATTTTTTTATCCTCTCTGAAAGGCAACTATTATTGTAGCTTACTGAGTCAATCACAGTAGTTGTAGAACTTTGTTTGTGTCTGCTCGACCATGTAATTACGCGCCATCCCCAATTCGCCTGTTATCTCAAGGGTCCACTAGACATAGTTAGATTTGTCCTGATCCTCGACAACAGCCACATGTGTGAGTGAGCGCTCTTTTTGTGATGGTGGGCACAGGCATGTGGGGCTGTCATGACCGCGACCTGTCGCTGCGCAAGGCGCTGCACGAGCAGATGGATCACGGCGACAAGCAGGAGGCCCTCAAGCGCCGCTGGAGGTGGCAGCTGACCCAGCAAAACAAAGAGGTGCACCCATCCGTCCACCACGCATAGCCCGTGAAACACACTGCTGGACACTTTGACTTCAGAATCAGAATGCTGTGTTTAGACCAATGAAGGCGCACAGAACATATTCTTGTAAAGAAAATGTTTGGGGTGACTTCCCCTTTAAAAGGGAAATGTTACTCCCTAAAATGTGATTTCAATGTAAAAAGATTCTATATTCGTCTAACACTGCAATTTTATGGCCAAAAAATGAACTTCGTTCAAATAGCTTTTTTTTTTCACAAACTTTTTTTTTAATTCGAAAAAAAAAACCCTCACCAACCATAAATATATTCCTGTATAATTCGATTTTTGTATGCCACTTACAACTTTATTCCGCTAACAGTGCAGCTTTAGACCTCAATCCTAAATCACAACCTTTTCTCAAAAAGGGAAAAAAAAAATATCCTTAAACATTTGATCTTAATTCCATGAACTGCTTCCTTATTCTTTATTGCTTGATTGTCAATGATATTTTTAAGGGTGGCCTTCGTTTCAAATGAAACACAAAAGTAAATTTTCCGTACGTGGTGCCACAAATGGAAACATTTCTTCTTCTGTTGTGTTTCGTGTCAGACAACAGCCGTTGCAGCGGGTGAATATTGACTTTGAACACACCGTCTCATTTCCATTTTGGGAGCCTCATGACGCCCGCCACCACAAAAATGATTAAAAGTTTGCGCTGCAGGTTGAGCAGGTCTTTATTTTAACAAGCCGCCCGCTCGCACTTGTTTGACTTTGTGTTGACTATTGCGGGACTGGTAGCTCAAGTCTCGAACTTTTATTCCGCCAAACACCAGCATCGGTATTGGCCTCCCAAAAAAATCCATATGACTCAGGCCCTATTAAATCCTATTTATTTATTTTCCCAAGTCATAGAGAGCCACAGCAGAGGTATGAAAAGAGCGGCATGTAGTTCTAGTCTTACTTCTTGCTCCTGTTGTCACAGAACAAAATATTCTGTGGCTCCTGAAGAATAGGGCAAAATACGGCGAACTGACAACTGCTGCCACTGAATGATGCTGGAAACGCGGGTGTCTCCTTTGCAGTCGGGCCTGGTCTACAGCGAGGAGGAGTGGCAGAAGGAGTGGAACGAGCTGCTGAAACTGGCCTCCAGCGAGCCTCGGGTCAACTACAATAACCACGTCAACAGCAGGTGAGCGAGGACGGCCAGCCCCTCCGTGGCGTTTTGTGGCCCCGCCGACGCTAATGCCCGCCGTCCCCACCAGGGGGGAGTCCTCGGACGAGCCCGTGTACGAGAGCCTGGAGGAGTTCCACGTGTTCGTCCTGGCCCACATCCTCAAGCGGCCCATCGTGGTGGTGGCCGACACCATGCTGAGGGACTCTGGAGGAGAGGGTGAGATCGCCGATGCTCTCGGACCTCCTTGGCAATATTTTCATTCATCCTTTTATTTTAGCTACACAAAAGGGGAAGAAGACATCAAAGATTGGTTCATATTTTGCTCTGGTCTTGGCCGCTATGTTTTTTTTTTGTTGTTATTGTTTTGAGATAGATGACAATTATCAGCAGAGATCGATGTAATCTGTTGATTAATTAAAGACATATATTTAAAAACATAACTTTTCCCTTTACGCTTCCCACAGAGGCCGACATATACTTGCAGGCGAATGTTTGATTGTTTTGCAATACTTTGTCCTTCAGTATTTATCATCAAACCAAACTGTATTACTTAACATGATAAACATTTTGGATGCCTATACAACCGTAGACCTAAGTAAAGCCTTATGTTTTGAAAACGTCAAAAGCACGTCAGTCTTAAACTGGTCTAGATTTGTAGCATTTGATCATTTTCATTATCATAAGTGCAAAAAAAGAAAAAAAAAGAAAGATTTGTCACATTTTGCGACTTCTAGTCATCATTGAAATTTTTTTAAAAAGTTTGGCTTTAGCATTGTACTATTTTTAACCATCATAAAAGTGACAAAAAAATACGTAAGCCTTGTTCTCAAATTAAAACCTCAGGTTGGTCTTAAATGGCAAGAGATTGGCCTAACGGTCCGCGGTTTGTATCATAAATCCATGTTTTTTTTTTGTTTTTTTTTTACCATCAGGCAGATGTCCGAATAAGGTTAGATCTTGTTCTAACATTAATAAGTAAGGTAGCGGCCGTTGTAAATGGTGAAACTGGGTCCTCGCGGGTCTCCACTTGGAGCATTCCATCATGTTGAAGCATCATGAAAGAGTCCCCTCATATTAAAATGTCAGGTTGTGCCAGTCTTAAACAGTGACAAGGGCAGCCAAGCAGGCACGACGACTTACTCCATTTTTCTAAGCGGCGGTTGGATTATTCGAGCAGGTGTACCTAATGTTGTGGTTACTTTGCGGGTTATTGAGTCACATCCTTGTTTGTCCCACCACAGCTTTTGCCCCCATTCCATTCGGGGGCATCTTCCTGCCCTTGGAGGTGGCGTCCACCATATGCCACCGCTCTCCGCTGGTGCTGGCCTACGACCAGGCTCACTTTTCGGCGCTGGTGCCCATGGAGCAGAAGGACGGCGCGGCCGAGCAAGGTGACTCAGTTTTTACATTCCATGCGCTTTGCTGCTGAAATGTCAACATCCGCAGAGGTTGGAAAAAAAAAAAAAGAAGTAAGGAGCCTGTTTTGACAAAGGAAGGACTAGAAAGTACCAATTTCCACTTTCAAATATGGGGAGTGAAAGGGAAAAATATTGGAGAGACACCTGAAAACAATCTGCTGATGTAAATTAAGAAAGTATTTGTATATACTTGCCATCACGGTTGCTGAATGTGTGTTTTTGTTTTTGTTTTTGTTTTTTTGCAGTGGTCATCCCGCTCACTGACTCAGAGCACAAAATGCTTCCTTTGCACTTTGCCGTGGATCCAGGACAAGACTGGGAGTGGGGGAAGGACGACACCAACAACAAGAAGCTTGGCAGGTGCTGCCTTCACTCTCATCATTATTTTTATTCATCATTATCCCTCTCAAATCATCCCTCCTTTATGCTTTTCATAGCCCAAAAAGTATACAGGTTTAACCCCAGTGAGCCATGTTCGCATCCAATATATTGTTCCGATAGGTGACCCGATCAAAGTGTTAAATTGCGGTGTAGTATGTATCTTGAGTTTTACGATCACTCTCCGTTTTCATAAAAATATAATTTTATTCCTCTAACATTACAAATTCAAATGAAAAAAATATATACTTCAATTTTCTTAAGTCTTGGAGCAATGTGGCTTAATTCCACTCACTTTGTGACTTCTTATTTTATGAAAATCCTTTTTTTTTTTAACACAACTTTATTTCACTACCCTTGATTTATTTGGAATGCAGAATATTACTTTTTTTTTGGCTGCAAAAATATGACTTAATTGTTCAAGCTTTCCAAATTCTTATTGGAAAAACGAAACGCGAAGCTTCCCCGCCACCCTTTAAGTATGTGAGGACGTACTGTGTCCCTATTTCGGGATTGAGCCTTGACTCCAGATTAGCAACGCTTGCTCACAAGAGATTAGCTCTAAGTAGTTTCTATGAATGGAGTGGAGAAACTGGTAAATAACCTCACACTTTGTCTTGCTGTTCCCGAGACCACCCTTGTTGTCTGGTAGAAATGATTTCCTATTTCTTATTGGAGTTTAACGAAGACGCTGCCAAAGCACTTCTTATTCTGATGATTTTTTTTCCTGTAAAGATTTGTTTTGGGCCCACATTCTGGGACGGGGCTTTTTAAAAAAATTTTTTTTTTTTTTTTAATCGTTCAACTTTGGGAGCGCTGTCCATAGCACTCTTCTCTGCTGTGTCAAATTTTGAAAGCATGCGTTTTCAGTTTAATGATACAAGCCAGAGCCTTGACACACAGTTCAATGGACTATAACAACGACCATTCCTCCTCTTAGTGTGACTCTCTCGTTGGAAGCAAAGCTCCAGATGCTTCACAGCTACATGACTGTCAACTGGCTGCCGCTGCCCTGCGAGGTGAGGACAGCTGCAGTACACTGGCGCAATTTACACACTCTGGTCCTTGTAGAGATACTTGGAAATAATCAACCCAAATACAGTCACCGCAACGCATGAGTGAGTGGAACCCAATTGGAGTACATCAGACCACAGGTGTAATGACTTTTAATAACATATTGTACAAGTCCAGAGGCAAACAGGTTAGTAGCTTCGCAGTTCAATTCAAAGGTCAAATAAAAACTCTCTGTTGGTTTGGAAAGGGTTAAGGCGGTGCGGCGAATGCTCTGGAATCTACAGGAAGGTCACACTGCCATGATGTTACATCAGAGCAACAAATAGCCACGGAAACAAACAGACAGATAGAAAACAGGAAGCGGTATAGGCAGAACTTGCAGTCGGAGACAGAAAGCTGAGGTGGTTCCCAGGGCAGCGATGAGGCAGGTAGATAGGTCAGAGGCAGACAGGACTGGCAAGTTTGGGAGATGAATTGAGGAAGGAAGCGTGATGGGGAATCTTGCGTGACAGTGGGAACAACAGTCTGGCAATGAGTGAGTGAGCAAGGGGAGTTTTTTGGTTTTTGTTTGGGTTTTTTTTTTTTTTTTTTTTTTTTACATCTTCGTTT